TGCCCGCGCCCGTCTCGCTTCGGCGCTGCCGCGCGCGTACCCGGCCTCCCCCCGTGTCTCCCGTCTGTGCGTGCGTCTGCCTGTCTGTCCCTGTGTCTCGCGTCTGCACCTGCGCCTCGCGTCTATATCTGCATCTCCCGGTCTACACCTGCGTCTCGCGTCTGTATCTGCGTCTCCCCGTCTGTGCCTGCGTCTCCTCGTCTGTACTTGTGACTCCCTGTCTGTACCTGCGTCTCGCGTCTATACCTGCGTCTCCCTGTCTGTACCTGCGTTTCCCTGTCTGTACCTGCGTTTCCCTGTCTATACCTGTGTCTCCCTGTCAATACCTGCGTCTCGCGTCTATACCTGCATCTCCCTGTCAATACCTGCATCTCGCGTCTATACCTGCGTCTCCCTGTCAATACCTGTGTCTCGCGTCTATACCTACGTCTCGCTGTCTATACCTGCGTCTCTCTGTCAATACCTGCGTCTCCCTGTCTGTACCTGCGTTTCCCTGTCTATACCTGTGTCTCCCTGTCAATACCTGCGTCTCGCGTCTATACCTGCATCTCCCTGTCAATACCTGTGTCTCGCGTCTATACCTGCGTCTCCCTGTCAATACCTGTGTCTCGCGTCTATACCTACGTCTCGCTGTCTATACCTGCGTCTCTCTGTCAATACCTGCGTCTCCCTGTCAATACCCGTGTCTCATGTCTGTACCTACGTCTCGCTGTCTATACCTGCGTCTCCCTGTCAATACCTGCGTCTCACGTCTATACTTGCGTCTCCCTGTCTATACCTGTGTCTCGTGTCTATACTTGCGTCTCCCTGTCTATACCTGCGTCTCCCTGTCTGTACCTGCGTCTCACATCTATACTTGCATCTTCCCTCCCCTGCTGCCTCTCCCCATCTATACTTTATGGTCTCTCCCTGCCTGTGCTTGCGTTTCCCGTCTATATCTGCATCACCCATGTATAACTGCTTCTCCTGGTCTACACCAGGGGCTCCTGTTTATACCTGTGTCTCCTGGTCTATACCCACCTCTCGTGCCTACCTCTCCTGACTATGCCCACCTCTCCTTGACTATATCCACCTCTCCCATCTATGCCCGTGTCTCGCTGTCGATGCCCACATCTCCGTGTCTATACCCACGTCTCCTCTTGCCTTTCTCTGTCTATACCCACATCTCCACGTCCTTGCCTGTCTCTCCCCGTCTCTACCCACGTCTCTCTGTCTGTCCACCTCTCCCTGACTATACCCGCCTCTCCTGTTTAAGCCCCTGTCTCCCCGTCGATGCCCGCGTCTCCATGACTATACCCATGTCTCCGCTTGCCTCTCCCCATCTATACCCACATCTCCACGTCTCTGCCTGTCTCTCCCCACCCCCTTCCCCTCTCCCCATCTCTGCCTGTATCACCCATCTTTACCTCGCCTCCCCTGCCCCACTGCCCCTACCCCACCCCGCGTACCCTGGAGAAGGCCAGCAGGAAGTCCATGCGGTGGGTGGGGCCCAGGCAGTGCCGCAGGCGCCAGTACACCAGATGCTCCCAGGCGAACACCAGCAGCGAGAGCCCCATGGCCACCAGGAGCATGTAGAAGACGCCCGCCATGTTGTCGATGTCCAGCTTGCTGCTCATGACCTCGATCTTGTCATTGTGGCAGATCCCGGAGAGCCACAGCCGTTCCAGCATCTCGATCTCATCTGGGGTAGGGGAAGAGGGGGAGAGGGCAGGGGTCACCTGCGGTGAGGACCTTCCCTTCGATGTGGGATTCCAGGCCCCAGCCCCTTCTTCCTTAGGACCCTGGGTCTGGGTCCTCATCCCCTCCTTCCCCGGGACCGGGCCTCGCCCTCCCCTCTCCAGCATAGACGTCCCCGCACCATCCCCCAGGAACTGCAGCAGCGCCAGGTCGATGGGCCGCTTCCAGCGGGAGCCTTTGTGCAGGGCGATGCCATAGCCGGTTGTGGCGAAGACCTTGCCGGAGCCGATGGTGACCAGCTTGCAGCCCTCATCCTTGCGGGCCATGTAGTTGAGTACTGCTGCGTCGTAGATGAAGGCATCCAGCTTCCTGGGGGTGGGGCGTGAAGGGCAGGGTCAGTCCCACCAAGACATCCTCCCTGCCCAGCCCAGAATCTCCTCACTCCTGACCTCCCACTGCTTCAGGTCCTAACTGGCCTTGAGCTCTTGAGCAAGTCATTGCACTTCTTTGGGCCTCGGTTTCAATATCTGTAAAATGGGCATAACCGCAGTACTTCCCTCCAGAGTTGTTGCAAAAGTTTTATTTCATGCCAGAGTCTCACTCTGTGCCCCAGGCTGGAGCGTAGTATCCTGATCACAGTTCACTGCAGCCTTGATCTCCTGGGCTCAGGCAGTCCTTCCATCTCAGCCTCCTGAGTAGGTGGGATGACAGGCACACACCACCTCACCTGGCTGATTTTTTTTTTTTCTTGAATCAGAGTCTCTGTTGCCCAGGCTGGAGTGCAGTGGCATGCTCATGGCTGTTACATCCTTGAGCTGCTGGGTTCAGGTGATCCTTCCATCTTAGCCTTCCAACTAACTGGAACTATAGACATGTGCCACCACACCTGGCTAATTTTTGGCTTATTGTGGAGGTGAGGTCTTACTGTGTTGCCTAGGCCGGTCTCAAACCCCTGGACTCTGGCATTCCTTTTGCCTCCACCTCCCAAAGTGTAGGAATTACAGATGTCAGCCACTGCGCCTGGCCTAATTTTTTGATTTTTTTGTAGAGATGAGGTCTCACTACATTGCCTAGGTTGGTCTCGAACTCCTGGGCTCAAGCAAGCAATCCTCCCAGCCTCCCAAAGTGCTGAGACTACACATGTGAGCCACCATGCCCAGCCTTGGTTTTTTGTTTTTGTTTTTTTAAGAGAGAGGGTCGCCAGGCGTGGTGGCCTGTAATCCCAGCATTTTGGGAGAGGTGAGAGGATTGCCTGAGCCCAAGGGTTCAAGACCATCCTGGGCAACTTGGTGAGACCTTGTCTCTACAATAAATAAAAAATTAGCTGGGCATGGTGATGCATGCCTGTAGTTCCAGCTACTTGGAAGGCTGAGGGGGAAGGATTGCTTGAGCCCAGCAGGTCGAGTCTGTGGTGGCCTTGAGCATGCCACTGCATTCCAGTCTTAGCAACAGAGTAAGACTCCAACTCAAAAAAAAAAAAAAAAAAAAAAAAATTAGCCGGGCATGGTGGCCTGTAATCCCAGCATTTTGGGAGAGGTGAGAGGATTGCCTGAGCCCAAGGGTTCAAGACCATCCTGGGCAACTTGGTGAGACCTTGTCTCTACAATAAATAAAAAATTAGCTGGGCATGGTGATGCATGCCTGTAGTTCCAGCTACTTGGAAGGCTGAGGGGGAAGGATTGCTTGAGCCCAGCAGGTCGAGTCTGTGGTGGCCTTGAGCATGCCACTGCATTCCAGTCTTAGCAACAGAGTAAGACTCCAACTCAAAAAAAAAAAAAAAAAAAAAAAAATTAGCCGGGCATGGTGGCCTGTAATCCCAGCATTTTGGGAGAGGTGAGAGGATTGCCTGAGCCCAAGGGTTCAAGACCATCCTGGGCAACTTGGTGAGACCTTGTCTCTACAATAAATAAAAAATTAGCTGGGCATGGTGATGCATGCCTGTAGTTCCAGCTACTTGGAAGGCTGAGGGGGAAGGATTGCTTGAGCCCAGCAGGTCGAGTCTGTGGTGGCCTTGAGCATGCCACTGCATTCCAGTCTTAGCAACAGAGTAAGACTCCAACTCAAAAAAAAAAAAAAAAAAAAAAAAATTAGCCGGGCATGGTGGCCTGTAATCCCAGCATTTTGGGAGAGGTGAGAGGATTGCCTGAGCCCAAGGGTTCAAGACCATCCTGGGCAACTTGGTGAGACCTTGTCTCTACAATAAATAAAAAATTAGCTGGGCATGGTGATGCATGCCTGTAGTTCCAGCTACTTGGAAGGCTGAGGGGGAAGGATTGCTTGAGCCCAGCAGGTCGAGTCTGTGGTGGCCTTGAGCATGCCACTGCATTCCAGTCTTAGCAACAGAGTAAGACTCCAACTCAAAAAAAAAAAAAAAAAAAAAAAAATTAGCCGGGCATGGTGGCCTGTAATCCCAGCATTTTGGGAGAGGTGAGAGGATTGCCTGAGCCCAAGGGTTCAAGACCATCCTGGGCAACTTGGTGAGACCTTGTCTCTACAATAAATAAAAAATTAGCTGGGCATGGTGATGCATGCCTGTAGTTCCAGCTACTTGGAAGGCTGAGGGGGAAGGATTGCTTGAGCCCAGCAGGTCGAGTCTGTGGTGGCCTTGAGCATGCCACTGCATTCCAGTCTTAGCAACAGAGTAAGACTCCAACTCAAAAAAAAAAAAAAAAGGGTCCCCCTATGTTGCCCAGACTAGCCTCAAGCTCCTGGACTCAAGGGATCCTCGCACCTCAGCCTCCTCAGTATTGGGGACTGCAAGCAAAGGTTATATAGTGCCCGATGCTGGAGAGACTTTAGCTGTGACTGTTAATGAAGTAATTACTTGTTTAATCCTCAGCGTAGCCCAAAGTAGTCCCTACTTACTCCTTCAGCTTAAAGAGGAGGATTGAGCCTTAGAACGGGAAATAATGAAAATAATAACATGAATAAATGGTCGCTTATATTGTGCCAGGCACTGTCCTATCTTGTCTCAGAATTTATTTAATCCTCACGGTATCCCTGTGAGATAGAAACTGTTATGTCTGTTTTTTGTTTTTTTTTTGAAATGGGGAAACACAAGCCCAGGCGCTCTCCCTCTAGGTCTAATCTCTACAACTTGGTGAGAAGAGGGATGGGGATATGGAATTAGTTCTCACAAATGGATACATGGTGGCATAAGCTGCATACGGCTCTCCTTCACAGCTGCTGTCAGTTTCCACTTTCTGTGATGATTTGATTAATTTCAACCTCTTCCTGGAGACTGTAAGGCCCCAGGGTCTCAGCTAGTCTCAGTCCCAGCCCTGTCCCAGTCTCAGCTACTAGCATGAAACAATAGGGTCAATAAATACTTGTGGAATAAATGAATCCACACCCAAGAATACTGTGTGACTATTCCATGATATCAGATGAATGCTTATGATCTGACAGATGAAGATGTCCAGGATGGAGCAAGATGATAATCATCCCAGGATTCCATATAGAGTATAATTCCATATTTATTTATTTTGAGTCAGGGTCTCACTCTGTCACTCAGACTAGGGTGGCATGATCACACAGCTCACTGCAGACTTGACCTCTTGGGCTCAGATAATCCTCCTCCTTCAGCCTCTTGTGTAGCTAGGACTATAGGCATGCCCTACCACATTGGCTATTTTTTAAATTAGAAGAGGTCTTCCTTTGTTGCCCAAGTTGGTTTCGAACTCTTGTGCTCAAGCAGTCCTCCTGCCTCAGCCTCCCAAAGTGCTAGAATTACAGGTATGAGCCACCATGCCTGGCCCATATTTATTTTTTAAAATGACATATGTAGTGGGGTAAAATTGTGGTCATCTTAACTGCAGACACCAGACTAGTACTTAGAAGCTGATACCTCTCTTTCCTAGTCCAGCAATGTCCAAAACAACCGGCCACACATGGCTCTTGAGCTCTTGAAATGTGACCAGTGTGACAAAAAGGCAGAATTTTAAATTTATATACTCTAAGTTGAAATAATATTGGACAGCACAGGTCTGGAAAGATAAGATAGATAAAGACATATGTCTAGGATGCAGGGAAGGCAAAGAATCTTCCAGACAAGAGTACATAACCTCAAATTTTGAGCTGTTATATCCTGTCTGTCGATATAAGTCCTTTTGTGTTCCCAAACCTGAAAAGTCCTGGTGGGACATGGTGGCTCACACCTGTAATCCCAGCACTTCAGGAGGCTGAGGCAGGAGAATTGCTTGAGCCCAGGAATTTGAGGCCAGCCTGGGCAACATAGTGAGACCTTGTCTCTACAGAATGGCAAAAAATTAGCCAAGCATGGTGGCATGCACCTGTACTCCCAGCTACTCAAGATACTGGGGTGGGAGAATCGCCTGAGCCCAGGAGGTCTAGTCTGTGGTAAACCATGATCATGCCACTTCACTCCAGTCTGGGTGGCAGAGTGAGACCCTGTCTCAAAAAAAAAGAGGTTGGGCGTGGTGGCTCAGCCTGAAATCCCAGCACCTTGGGAGGCTGAAGCAAGAGGACTGCCTGAGCCCAGGGGTTCGAGCCCAGCCCGAGCAACTTGGCGGTACCTCTTCTCTACAATAAATCATAAAAACTAGCCGGGCGTGATGGTGTGCATCTGTAGTTCTAGCTACTTGGAAGGCTGAGGCAGAAGGATCGCCTAAGCCAAGCAGGTTGAGGCTGCAATGGCTGTGAGTGTGCCACTGCATTCCAGCCTGGGCAACAGAGTGAGACTCCTACTCAAGAGAAAAGAAAAGAAAAGAAAAGAAAAGAAAAGAAAAGAAAAGAAAAGAAAAGAAAAGAAAAGGACTGCCGGGCTCGGTGGCTCAGCCTGTAATCCCGCGCCTTTGGGAGGCTGAGGTGAGTGGATTGCCTGAGCCCGCGGGTTCGAGACCCACCTGGGCAGCGAGACCTCATCTCTACAATAAATCAAAAAATCAGCCGGGCGTGGTAGCGCATGCCTGTAATTCTGGCTACTCGGAAGGCTGAGGCGGAAGGATCGCCGGAGCCCAGCAGGGGAGGCTGCAGTGGCCGGGAGCGGCCACTGCACTCTAGTCTTTGCAACAGAGTGAGACTCCGACTCAAAAAAAAAAAGAAAAGAAAAGGACTGAATGAGCCCACTCTCCCTAAATGGAGAGACAGACAGGGAGCAGATTCCCAAATTGAATGGATCTAGGATTAAAGACTGGAGGTGGGGCTGAGAATGCAACACTCCAAAGAATTCCCAGGAACTTGAGGAGGGCATTCAGCATCCCACGGCTGGAGAATGGGGTTTGAATTAATTTTATATAGATCCTAACAGGCCGGGAGATCCCTGATGACTTCTGGACACATACATACAGGCAAGAAAAATATCGCAGCTGCCTGCAGGCACTTCTGCCTTGTAGGCACGCTGTAATTTT